CTGTCTAGAATAGTCCATGGTTGTCATCTATACTCCGGTAGACGACAAGATCATCTGATAAAGTCAATTCATTTCATCTTATAGTCATCTCATCTCATATTTTTCATCATCATCTTCCTTTTTTCTACCTAATATTTTATAAGTATAAAATACATATACGATTTAATCAAGTAAAATCATATTATAATAATTTATCTAGCACAGATATCAAGAACCACAAATAATAGGCACAATTAACATATAATCGTCTAGATAATTCATATCTATGTGTATGTCGAAGATAACTATGCACTCATTTGTTAAAGTGATGATTCGAAACTCGGGCAGCGCTTCGCTTCTAGCACTTGACCTTTCCTTTGACATGACCTAATATCGTTATCACTAAGTCTTAGTCTAACGTTTCCAATGATATCCTAGACCTATTAATTATTCCAATAAATACCGATAGTTCTATCAAATAAGGATCAACCATGCGGGACAGTTGGGAGGCAGGACCATTTCAGCATGTAGAGTTTCTAAAATCCAACAAGCAAGCCAACATGAACAATGTAGTCACCTCGCCCGTAAGTAGATCAATCAGTATTATAACTTGTAATTATTGATAATTCTAATTTATAGATTCATAATAACGACTTATGACTATAAATATAAGTTACACCGAAAGAACTAGAGTGTAGCTTAACTTATTGAGGTTCCTCCTGAGCAAAGTCCGGAAATCGCACTCGTAGGACTCCTACTTGATTGAATACCTCGGGGGTTGCAGGGCTTCCCCGGAACACAAAAACTAAGGGAAAATGACCTAAAAGTAAGGAATACTTGAGAGAAAAAGGTGTAGGGGGTGTGGGGAAGGAAGCATATATGGAATGGAGTATTTAAAGGCAAGAAACATGAAGCGTGTCGTGCTCATATATGCTCATACTACACCTTATGGGTGTCTTGGCTCCTATGGGCTTCTCCCACGTGTTGTTGCGTCACTCGTCTACATGCACCTCTTCTAGAAGGTGCCAAGTGTCACCTTCCTATGGTGACATATGTTAAAATATCATTGGTCCACATCGGCATGTCTCGGAAGAAAGGGGCTGCCCCAACATGGCCATGTGGCGCTCTCTCGTCGTGCCATGTCATCAACGCACGTGGCGCACTTCGCACATGATTTTCTAGATTTTCAAAATGGACTAACTTCTTCATACAAGCTCCGTTTTTTAAGTTCTTTATATATCCCCGGAAATCTTTCAATGAGATCTAAAACTTTCCTTTAGACCCCAATAACTAATTCTCACTCTATCAAAAAATTATATTTTTTTATAGGATTAGGTTGTTAGAAATTGTTGCAGAAAGTATAACTCCTACATAGGGACTCCATTCTCGATGACATGTTTATCGACAGATTCCTATTAACGAGATCATCAACTCTCATCTAGATTGTTTAGGCTAACAATCAGCCAATCTGAATTTCAATTTTTGTGTCTGCACTGATGCATTGAAACTTCGAAAAATCATAACTTCCTCTTACGAAGTCAGAATTGGACGTTCTCTACACGCACACTCTCGGTTTAACGATTACTATGACTTTCTTTTAGGTCACTAAGGCTAAATATTAATTTATCAAAATATCATTTTTTACGATACGCAGAGCTATGTCGGTTTAATCGCGAAACTTCGAAGAAACATAACTTCTTCATACGAAGTCGGATTTCAGTGTTCCTTATATCTATGGAATCCTCATCTCGACTACTTTATCTTTCATCAACGATATTCATCCTAATTTTTATTCTATTTTGATGTGTATTTTATTCCTCTTTTTATTATATCATTATAAGTATATATACTACATATAACTACACAAAACACACATAATACTCAATAATCCCCTTTATTGAATCCATATAAAGGTTAAAATTATTGAACCTAACTATTACATTATCTTATTAATGCCTAGTGAGAACTGTGCGAATTACAGTGACGATGCTCCGTTCAGGTCTTGCCACATGTCATCGTCTCCTTCGTCCACATCGTTGAGTCGGTTGAAAGAAAGGGGTTGTCGCCTTGCCATGTGCCGTGTCATAGTTGGTTCGCATCATCAGTTACTGGGTATTTTTTGTAATCTTAAAAAAATCATATCTTTCGCACACGAGCTCTGTTTTCGAAGTTCTTTATATCCCCAGTTTCATATCAACGAGTACTGCAACTTTCATTTATATTACATCGACTAGTTCTCATTCTATTTTTAATTTACAGTCCATGAGAATCAAATTGTAAAAGACTTTGAAAAATTCATAACTTCTTCGTACAAACTCTGTTCTTGACGTTCTTTATATTAATGGATTCATATTTACGAGAACTTAAACTCTCGTTAACATTTGTTTGGCTAAAAAGAAACCGATCTCCATTTCACTTTTTATGACATACATTGTTGTGTCGGATTGAACTCGAAACTTCCAAAATTCATAACCTTTTCATACGAAGTCAGGTTTATGCGTTTTGTTTATACTCATTGAATCTTCATCATGACTACTAAAAATTTCGTTAAGATTATTTATCCTAAAGAATATTTTATTTAAAAGTGTTATTTTATCGCTCAACGATAAATAAATAACAGGACTTTCTACAAATATTATATACTCATAATTGATATTTGTCCACATAATGTATATATAGCATGTAACGCATATAACGAATAATTATCCTACTCGAGAATTTTAATTATTCAATAAAATGAATAGTTATAACTAAAATCACTTAATCAGTTAGCCCTAACTTATAGGCGTTACATTTAAAATGCACAAATAACTCATGCTTAATACAAGAATGAGTATCCACTCACTCCCTATCCACTATCACACCTTGAATCGTCAAGTGTTTGCCTTTTGTTTTTATTGAAAATACTGTAAAAATACTTAGTATTCCCATCACCATTGATAAACCACCTAATATTGGTATTTTGCCCTAAGGCAGCCATCTCTAAATGATTTATCTCACAAATTTGTTTCATTAAGTAGATCTTCCAGCAACAATGTAATAGTTCCTTTCCCCTATCAATCTCCGAATCAAGATCCGCCAGTTTATTAACAATGGAGGTTTTAACCCCATTTCGATTCTCCTATAAGTCGAATTCCATGCCTTAATGTTTTGCTTTAAATGTGCAGCTTCTTTTAAATAACACCATCCAATTTGATTCTATAATCCCATCCGTCTTCTAAGAGTCTTCCATAACTTGTACAAAGCCATCCGTAGAAAACCAAGAATGAAAAATTCTAAAAGAAGAAGGGCCATAATCTAAATCCATTTCTTTTAGAAGAATAGGTTGATGATCAGAAAAATGTTTGTGTAAAGTAATGTCTGTCAAATGTGGAAAAAAAACTCCAAAAGACCTTCTAAAATGAGAAACCTATCAAGTTTACTCATTTTCCGCAGCCACTCTATCACACCAAGTAAAAGAATAACCACCAAGAGGAACATCAATCAAACTAGCATTCACAATAAAGTTATTAAAAAGGCTTGGAGAATAAGAATGGAAATTTGACCCATACCTTTCACTCTTATACCAAACTTCATTAAAATCACCCATCAAAACAATCTCACCCTACCATCTTAAAAAATAATAATAAGATAATCCTAAATCTTTTTTTCTCAGAAAGATCTTGGGGAGCATAAATAGACACCACAAGCAAAAAAGTTTAAGTAGGAACCCAAACACCCTCAACTATAACTTAGTGATCATGTCACAAGACTTTAATTTTAGAAAACAAATCCTTATCCCACACACAAAGAATCCTGCCTGATAAACCTTAGATAAATCATAAGAATAGTTAAAATGATTATTAACCCAAACCGACCGCACACCATAAAGATCCATATGCTTTATTTTTGTTTCCAACAATGATAAAAACGAAACCCGATGTTTACCACATAAATTCTTCACCCCAAGATTGTTTCTCCACCTTCCTTAGCCCTTGAACATTTAAAGAAATAAAATTCATTGCAAACCATCCTCTCCTCCATGACTATTAATAATTTCATCAATGTTTTTAGTGCAACCATCCATAGAGTATCCTTTAGCTAGACCAATTTCGATAAACAAATTAATTCATCAATTAATTTTCTTTTGAGGTTTCCTAGAAATTGTAACCGAGTCACCAAAAAACGATTAAGAATGTCCATACCCTTTCTTTAAATGCTTAGCACGTGAGTTTCATTGACACTTTTATTCAGTTGGTTAGTGTAATTAAAAGAATTAATTTCACACTCCTATTTCCTGTTGTTCTCCAAGTCAAGTGGGGCTGATTTCTAACAAGAATATCCATTAGAAACTTCAATAAAAAAAATTCTACAATGATGATTCACTACATACACCACATTGCTGCTTGAAACTCCCAACCCTATGGCCACCTTGATGATGCCAAGAGCTTACAGAAGGCTACCGAGGACTAGCAGAAACCTGCACATCAGCGGGAAACAACTGTTGTTGCCATTTTTCTTATTGAACAAAATTAGAATGTTGGTTTGGAACTCCTTGCGATTCATCCTCCTCGTCCACCGTCTCCACACACAAAATTCTCTATTCACCTTCTTCAAAATTTTCATTTATATTGTCATCGTCCCAATTATTATCCTCCTCCAACTTAGATCACACGTAGATTACTTAGGGGTTGAAATTATTTCACAACCCCAATAATGGTTAGTGCATGATTATAATTAAAAAAGCATCCGTCATCTAGAATCAACATCGAGTCATCATTACCTTTTTTATTGACAGCCATATTATCTTATCCTCCTGTAAAGAACGAAACATAAGATACAAGGGTTGTGTTAAGTCTATGATTCATATTTTTTTCCTTCCACATTCCTTCCACCACCATCTTTATTCATCATTTGGTGACCCCTTTGAGACCATGTGATATTGGAAACAAGTTTGAATTTCCCAATCCAAATAGAACATAAATTCGACACCAACAACTCCACATTAGTAGTCTTAGAGAATCTGACGAATGCATAATGTTTGCCCATCTTTGAAAGCCTTGTAGCAATAAAAACATCAAACATAGTTATGTATTTCTCACATACCCTCCACAATAGTTAAAAAAGGTACATATTTTACATAATAAAACTATCTAAACATTATTAATTTTCATGTTTCATATTCAACAACGATCTTGATGTGTATGTATAAAAAATAATTATCCCTAAAATATTTTCCATCACTTGACAAGTTCCTCCTCTTTGGCCTCTTCCAACTCACGTAGCCCTCCCACCTTCTGCTCAATCTCCTCGATCAACTCCTCACGCCACAACTCTGATCTCGCCTTTTCTTCTATATCTTCTTGCTGTGTACCAAATATATAACATATCTTGCATGTTAAAATCAAAATCTAATGATTTTTAATGAAAAAAAATTACCTTTTCATACACCCAATGCCCAGTTCCATCTCCTCCATCTTTCCTATAATGTTCTGAATCATAATATGGATCCTGATAAAGATATTTCATGCTCTTTAGAAACATTTTGAATCCTAAATCACGGGGAAATGTATAAACTTGCTTACCTTTGTCGAACCAAAGAAACAACATCCCCAAACAGTAAACATGATGTAGAACGTATCTGTAACAAGAATGGAGCAGGAAGTAGCATCATCAATCAATAACAAATGGATTGAATTTGATCAAGTGTGTTGTGGTTCTATGAGAGAAATTAATGAAGACTCACAAACGTTCTTGATGGATTGATCGCTGAGATGCCATATGGATTTGTGGGTGATGAGGTCTCTTTGGCCTTCCATATGCTCAACTAAAACCGCCATTAATGTCAAATCTGGTAGAGCGTTCAATCTACTCTTGTTGTTATCTTCACCAACTGAATGCTATGTTCATATTGAACTTGTATCATTTTTTTGATGAATGGGAAAAGAAAAAAGTGTTTAATTTGAAGTCAAACACACGATCGACTTTAATCATTCATTCTCTACTATTTCATACTTTGACTTTTGAAGTCAAACAAACTATTTTGATACAATGATACTAATATATTTTTAGGAATTGATTAATTGAATTTTGCATTTAAGAAATTGATTAATCCATATCCATACAAGGTACAAATACTATATATATATATATATATATATATTATATATATATATATATACTTATACTACTTTATAATACATACATAATTGTGGGTCCTACAAATTTTAAGACTAAAGTCTTAAAAAAAGGAGATGGATTTATAACCATTAGATTTAATATAAAAGGGTTAGATTTAATATAAATGGCTTAGATTGTGATCCTTGTGAACATGTTTAGACCAATAGAAATTAAACATTATGACTAAACTCTTAATATAAATACTAGACATTTACTCTTTCCATGTCATATGTAACCGTGCAGCTAATAACCCAAAAACCCTAGAAACTTACCAGCCACCCCTTCACCACGATTCTTACTTCCTTTCTATATAAACCCTAAAAACCTTTAAAACCACTGATAGCCTCCATGTGCGCTACAATCACTGTTTTAAGCATCGATTCAACCACCTCTGCTACCAACAAAACACTTCGATCAACACAAAAACGACATATCTCTTTAGCATCATTCCACTTTGCCGCCAGGTAAACAATGAGGCGATAGCCTCACCACTACTGGCAACCACTTATGCATAGTTGCTCAACGAACAACCACCATCTCTTCTACTATCTCTTCTAATGCCTTTTGAACTCCTTCTACGGCTCACTCCACAGCTACAGTCGTTGACAACCATCTGCAGCTCTCTCCACCGGTGACTACAAGCAGCCGCTAACTACATCAGCCACACATCTCTCTTTGTCGGCCTCTGCCTCTCTTTCGTCGAAAACTCTAAATATAAACTCTTAAATCTCCATTATTGTCTAAAACCATTAGATGTGTTACAACCAAATCCATATATATGGGTTTTGTTTATTTTTTATACATGGATTTTAATTAATATGTGATTTTAGTGATTTGTGCCATGACGAAAGCTAGAATATGGAAAGCACACGGTTTGATATCACGTGATCGATTTTTGTTCTTGAATATATTTTGTATGAGTTTTGACTGAAATATGTATGCTCTTATTAATTCAATTGTTGTATGAGTTCTGAGAAAATTAATTCAATTTTTTTACATTTAGCATGGGCTTTGAGAAATATGTATACTTACTTGAGCGACAAGTTTTAGATTTCGTATTGCATTTTATAGATTTTATAGTTAGGTGTAAATTCAAAAAAAATTATATTTCATATCTCTATTTTGAACTTGTAGATATTTAGAAAAAGGATTCAGATATGTGTTAATTTTATATATATTTTGAGAAAAAGTTTTTATATTGATTTTGTATTTCTATGGTTTGTTATAGCAAAAAGTTCAAGTTCAATATTGTATTTTTATATATGTTGAGTAAAGGCAAAACGGATTTTAATATAAGATAATAAATTAGAGTATTTAATCTGTTTCAATAAATGTAATATCACACTATAAAATTTTCTTTGCTTTTCGGTAGATTTTATGGTTTTAAGTTTTAACAACAGATTATATAGATAAAACAATAAGATAGTGCTTTTGTGGTTTTTAGTTTTTAGTAAAAAATAGTTACGAAAAAGTTGTCCTTTGAGAAGTTGTATCGTCAACTTCAATAGTTGTAAATTCTTGAACGTATGCCAAAAATGTTCTCGATTTATGTAAAGATGATTTAAATAACCATAATTAAATGCATAAATGCGACTGTTATTAAAAAAAAGTGCCAAAATAACAAAGGGTGGGGCCTTAGCCTGTTGCTACGCATCTATAATAAGGAAAACATAATTACAGCCAAATTAGTTTTAATGAAAAATAAATGTATTCTTTTTTTTTGAATACATCAATGATCAAACATATATAAAAAAAATGTGTTCATCAATGCATTAATAATAGTCTTTAATTTTTAAGTTTGTTAACTTTTACATTTAAACCTTTCTAATTTATCATACTTTTGACTTTTTAATATCTTTATTTTAATGCTTAATTATTTGATAAATTAGTATTTTAACATAAACATAGTATTTTATAACTATAACATTATGATTGATTTTAATGAAATGGTAATATCATTTTGTTGCAGTTGTACTAAATAATCTTTATCAAAAGACTTCTAGCTCACCGGTATCCGGTGTTGTCCTTTCTCTTTAAGGTTGACAGTTCAAGTCCCGTTGTGGAAAGAAAAATTATTAGATGTTCGCCGTATTGCCCAAATTAAGTTATATTTATTAAACTCGATTCCGGTTTCCAATTTGAAGGAAACAGGAATTGCAATACACCTTCGAATGCACATTTTAGCATCCTACTTATTTTTATATCATTGTACTTAAAAATAGCAATGAACTTTCTAGAAATAGAAACTATCCACCGAAAGAAAATACTTGACGCAAAAAACAAACTAATTCTTGCATGTCTAGAGACAACTGATCGCCGAAATGAACAAATATCTGGAATGAAACAAACTGAAAGGAAACAATCTGACGACCGACGAAATGACACTAAATTTCGTTCCAAACTAATCGCCGGAATGAAACAAATCGTCGCTGCCGCATCGCGTGAGTACGCTCCTACTATATATATATATATATATATATATATATATATATATATATATATATATATATATATATATATATATATGGTTATGTTATAATGTGGATAGACAACTATTGTGCGGACGTGTGGATATTGATATTCTATGAGAATTACTAAGAGAATAAGTTGTTTAGTAATGTTAATATGTTCAATCTCACACAAATATTGTCATTTTTCATTCATTTTCACTAATTCTTATTAATTTTTTTTCATGCATCATTTTTCACTTATTTTTATTCTTACAGAATACGACTCAATAAACATTCTGACAGAATGAGAACAATAAAAAAAATCTATAATAAACTCATAGACGATTTAATTAGTGAGAATGTGTGATGATGACAATAGTTATATAAGATTGAACGTATTGATATTATCAAACAACATATGTTCTTTGTCATTCTCACAGAATAGCACTGTCCATATGTCTGCACAATAGATATCAATCAACATTTTAACCTAGCTCTCTCTCTCTCTCTCTATATATATATATATATATATATATATATATATATATATATATATATATATATATATATATATATATATATATATATATATAAACGACGAGTTAATATGCGTTTAGGAGTGAATCTAATACCTTATTGTTAGAAATATCTTAGGATTGAATCCAACACCTCCTATATACACTTTTATCTTACCAATATCTTAGGATTGAATCCAACACCTCCTATATACACTTTTATCTTACCAACAATAGGTTCAAAAGCAGCAACATATTATTATATTATTACGTAATAAGCTTTATTGTATGATTGTTATAAATTTAATACTTATATTTATTCTAAAAACTAATGTCGGTGGCCTTTCTTTTAGTTCTCCGACGTTTTACTTTTTTTTTTTTTTTTTTTTCATTTTAAACCCTTTTCGTTTTATGTTTTTATTGCTATTAACCCTTATTTTATAAAATGATATTCTAAACGCCTCTAGTTTTTAAATTATTGTTTTTACCCCTTAATTTTGCACTTTGTAGATTGTCACTTTAGCCTTCATCATTTCTTAGTTTTTGTGTTTATTTCATATAGTATATATAATATGATTTTTCTATAATTATTATATTTTCAATTTTGTAAAATGTCATTTTAACCTTTTTAACTTTAAATTTTATAAAATGTATCTTCACCCATTCGGCTTTAAACTTTGTAAAATATCGTTTTGACCCCTTCGACTTTGAACTACATATAATTGGATTTTCCTTATTAACTTCTGTTCATTTAAGGTTGTCAAAATTTTACCTTAGATTTAGAACTTTGGTTCGTGAATCTAAAAAAATATATATTTGTTTTTTTATGTACGTATCGATATAAATTCAAGTTTGTCTATATTTCAACGTAACTATTTTTACGTTTAATGCTTATATATATATATATATATATATATATATATATATATATATATATATATATATATATATATATTCTACGTGTGAGTTGATCACAGAATAATACATTTTTTATTTGAACTGTCGTGTTTTAACATAATAAAATAATCTTACTATTTATATATATATATATATCTATATATATATATAATATATATATATATATATATATATATTATATATATAAATTCAAGTTTCTTTACGTTTTTTTGCCTATTTTTATGTACGTTTCCTTCGGTCGCATATAATACATTTTCATTTAACGGTAATGGTACCGACCTTCTATATTAATTTACCAACAGATACAACAATGTCTAACTTTTATCAATACAATCATCAAAATTCAACCTAAACCCGTTACTGCCGCCGCAACGCGCTGCGGGTAAAATTTTAATACTAAGGAAGAAAATTAAACAAATTAATTAGTCAAGACATATTGTTGTTATTATTATTGAAAATATTAAGGAAAGGGTTAGTTGTTGCAAAAAGGAAATGAGTGAAGTTAAAATGTTAAAAAAAAATCAAAATATGCATAATCAACAATCTTGCAAAATTTTGAAGTTTAACGTCAAGAAGATGGGGTTCCCAAATTTGAAAATTATAACAACCCCATTATCAGAGGATTCATAATCGCCATGAATCGCAGGAAGATGAGTAGAAGATACTAACCAGATGTAAGCCATTGACGAATTTTGAGCCTGAAAACTGCCTGAACTGAAAATCAAGAAACATGATTTTAAGTTCACTGTCATCTATTTATGTGCAGAATCTTACTAGAAATTAACGGTAAAGTGGAAATGATTACTGATTTTGAAAATGGATTCGAGTCCAATCTTGTTGTCTGCAAAGAGGGCTTATAATGGAGGTGAGGATTGATCATTTTGAAGCTCATAATTGCTTCTGCCATGGATGATGATAAGGAAACAGACCAACCTTCAAACCCTTCTTTTTTGTGTGTGCTGTTTTGTTGGGTGAAAAAGAGGATAAGGAGCCCATTTGTAACCACCCTTTCATTTCGTCTAATGCTCTATATAAAAAATTTACATTTCTAGTTTGGATTATCTTTAAGAGCATAGTTCAATCAATCTGGAAGGGTATGTAATTATGTATATTTTAAAAAGTAGAAATTAATTTAAAATATGCATTGAATTAAAATATGTTAAATACAATTTACCTTAAACATAAAATCTCTACACCGTTTATTTTTATCGGAAAATGATTTAGTAGAATAATGAAACTATCAATTTTGTATATATTTATTGATTTTTTAATGATTTGCCATTAAATTTATAGTGTTTAAAGAATATTATTTTGACAACTATTGAAAATCTAGCCGATTTATCATGTGCTCTAGGGCACATATTAGAAAATATCTTGTATTTATATTTGTGTTCAACAAACAGCATTCAACTTATATTTTTGTACACAATTCATCATTAAACTAACTTTTATATATATTTAGTCACACTCATCTTCTTCGGCCATCATCAATTTTCTCATATTTTCTCCGGCCAACACAATTCCAAAAGAAGAAAGGAAATGTCATTTTACATGTTTGTTTTTTAAAACATTGCAGGGCGCAGAGTCTCATCCTTCTCTTTTTAGGTGAAAGCGCTCCTACACATTTTACCATACGTAACTTCCTTCTTGTCGATACTCACATATTTTCCCCACCCCTCTCCCTCTCCAGTTACTTTATGAAATTAAGGTTGAGCTAGGTCAGTCTGGGTCGGTTTTTGGGTGAACCTGAACCCAAACCAACAAGTTTGATTTTTAGATTTTGAAGCCTATTGGGTTCAGTTCGGTTTCTTTGGGTTGATGGGTTTTGGGTTTCATTTCACCACATTGAGTTTTTAGTTTTTCCGTTTCAACATAATCGATAATAATAATAATAATTATAATAATAATAATAATAACAACAACAACAACAACATATTGAATGTAGTAACTCATGCTTAAGCACTAACTTATGTTTTTAGTTCTAACTAAATAATATAATAATTATTAATAATATATTAGATGTATTAAATAAATTATATAATATGTGTGCCGTTTTCAGTTCTTTGGGCCAGTTTATGGTTTGGTTTTACATATTCGGTCGGTTTCAGTTTTATGGGTCGGTTTTAAAAGTCCAAACTGAATTTTTCGGTTTTAAACAATCCAAACCCAAAGCCGAGTATGTGGGGTTAGGGATTTTTCACTAGGGGCGAGCAAAATCGAAACCAAAAACCGACAAAATCGAAACCGAAAAACAGAAACCAAATCCAAAGTCGAAGGTTTGGGTTTGGCTTCTGTTTTTCGGTTTCGATTTTGTCGGTTTTCGGTTTCCATTTTGCTCACCCCTAGTGAAAAACTCCCTATCCCCACATCCCCTCTCCCTTTTCTTCTTGAATAGTGCTCCACAAGTAACCACATTTGTTCAAGGTTATAATTTTATTATTGGAATCCCAATTTAGATTTATTGGAGGTTTGAGTTGTTTTTAGGTTTGAATGTGAGTTTGTATCAATTTTTTAGGTTGAATCTTATTTAATATTAGCTACTTGGTGGTGGAGATGGGCGGTTGTGATGGCGAATTGTAAAGTCCCAAAAACCATAGTAAATTTTTTTTCATTTCTCAAAAGACATTTCCATAAAACCCATAAAAGTAATCAATCATTGTTTCAAAACATTGCCATAAAAATCAAAGTATCAATATCATCTCTCAAACATAAATCAACAGGATGATATGTACGATCACACCTTCACCTTCCCTCAATCATCTGAAGTACCTGAAACATTTAAATCCACAATTGCAAGCCAAAGCTTAGTGAGTTCCCCCAAAATACCCAACAAAACAATACATATACAATGCATGCACGCATGAGCCTACAGTCTACCTGGACCTCCTCGCAAGGCCTACAAGGCACCTGGACCACTCTACTAAGCCTACAGTCTAACCGGACCGCTCCCTTGGGCCTACAGTCTTCTTGGACCGCCTTGCAAGGCCTACAGATCACCCGCACAATATGCCAACATATGAAAACAAACAAACAATCAAACAATAGCCAACAATGCAAGTATCATATCAGATCTACTAATCTATCATATTACTACAACATACCAACATCCTACACACAAGGATACATACTGCAGTACAAAGTATAGTGAGAAAACTCACCTTGTAGTCTAATAGATAAACAAACATCTAACACAATCCAAAAACGGTTAGTACAATTCACCTATACAATAATTAGGGAACATTTCTTAATCTATATCCCAAATCCCTCAAATTAACCTAAAGTGAAACTTGGTCAAAAAGTAAAAGGTCAACGGTGAAAGTCAACGATCAAAAGTCCAACAGTTGGTCACCACATCGTGGCAAAGCATTTTGCCACGTCGTGATGACCTCACGACAAAACAATGGCGAAGACCACTTAACGCCACATCGTGGAGGCTAACCCTCCATGTCGTGGGTACTTTTCTGAGCAGCTTAGTGCATTAAGCTATTAATCATTAAAGCTACATATCCATACTTTCCAGAAGGCTTTCTCTCACCTAATGAATCATAAAAATTGGTGTTTTATAGAGATGAATGTCCAATCCATGTCTTGAACTCCAACTTGGTAAAAAATGATGAAAATAAGGTCAAAATTGTTGGATTAGGTGTTTAAGCCAACAACTAAATTGGTATGTACTTGAATTAAAAGCAAGTCCTTTTTGGGTTGCCCTTAAAACTAGTAATTAACATAATGACTTTTGGAGAGAGTGCTTGATTTATTGGTTTATTATATGATTAATAAATATCAATAAATAATTTATTAATGTATTATGAGATTAATATATTAATTAGAAATAGTATTATTTAATTAATAACTAATCATAAATTAATTAAAATTAATTTTGGGATTATTTTGATTAAATAAATGTAACATCCCGATGATAAGGTACTTCTAATTTTAAACCTATAATTTAATTATGTTACATTTTGGTCCCTAAGTTCAAGAAAGTGTGCAAAAGACCCCTAGTGGCATTTTCATAAATAAGCCTTGAGGGAGTATGCGTGTACGCTGAGTGTACTAACTAGTACGTTGGGCGTACATCTTGTACGCGCGACGTACTTTTTAGATATGGAAACCCTAATTTTTAGGGTTTAGCTCGTATATAAACCTCAGTATAACCTCATTTCCCCTCACCTCATCAGCCGCCTTTCTCTTAGATCGTTCTTGCAACCCTAATTTTCCTTGTGGAGCCATTCCAAGCTTAAGAGTGTGCGTTTTTGTGCTTTGAAGAAGAAGGAATGGAGTAAAGCTC